TTTTTTTTTTTGTGTGAAGGATGTGGCGCGAGGTGAAAACGAAACAAAAAAAACAAAAATAAAAGAGACGAATGAAGGGCGCCGCTGCTCTGTGAGCGTTCACTCCTCCCTCGTGTGTGTCCGTTCCCACGCCCCCAAGAATGGACGCCAGCCCGTATTCCTCTCCCCCACCCGAGCAACAGTTGTACCTGCCGACGTGTGACTGTCTCCGTCTTCCTCCGGACATGTCTTCTTCCCTGCTTCTGTTTTTCTTTTGTCTCTCTGCCGCCTTTCTCAGTCTTCGACACGGGTTTAGAATCCCACCAGCCGCCGCTTTCCACCAATTCTCAGTCTCCTCGGGTAGGGTATACATATACATATATATATATATATATATATATATATATATTTTNTATTTTACGTGAAGGGTGATTTTTGTAATTCTTATCACAGGGCGTGTCTGTGTGAGATTGAAGTGCGCCTTGTTTCCTCGCCTCCTGTCATCATCATCATCATCATCGTCTGCTCTCATTGGGAAGCGAAGGGTGCGTGGGTGGAGGTGGAGCGGGTGGCTGGCGATGGCTGCTGAATTCTATCCCTCTTCGCGCAGCTAAAGGTAGTTATACGAGAATGACACTCCGCACATAATCTCGCGTCGCTGCGGGGACCTCATCCACCGCAGGGTGAGGTGACTATCAACACACTCCATAGTTCCGGAATAAGGAACAGAACAACACACCAGAGTGCACATTGGGGGATTAATTATTTGCAATGCGTGTATTTACGACATGCCGCGATACTCTTCCTCTTGGTGTCTGCTGCCTGTGGCTGCTAGGGGCGGACCCCTTCACTCCCCTGTTTGTGCCTGGCGGTGCGCAGCCGCTTTTGATTGTGCCTCACGTTCCTGTTGTTTTTTTATTTGGCGTGCGCCGCGAAGAACAGCAACACCGAAAGAAGGACACATGGAGCTGCTGTGGTGTAAATATGACAGAGCGATATGCATGCATGCAATTGTGTACTTATGTGTCTGTGTATCTGCGCCAGGAGCCGTGTACACGTGCCTGATGCTGAGGCACCCGGTTCTCCGGGTCCTTGTACACACGTATCTGTGAAGAGGAAAGTGAATGTATATGTGTGTGTCTCTGTGTGTTGTACCTCCGCTGCTGGTGCCGCTGCTCTCACCTATGCTTTTTGTGCGCTCCTGTGCTATTCTGTACACACGTGTCTATATATATATATATATATATATATATAT